AACCTTTTCAAACTTTGAAAGATCTGTAGATGTTTCATTTCCTCCTTACCTAGATTAAATTGGATCCCTAAAGACATAAATAGGATGCAAGAAAATCGGTTGGCAAAAACACAATAAAAATACATTAAAAATCAGGTTAAATTAAAACTCTCAAATTCATTCACTTTAATATACGCATCTTCATGTTTCACAAGTCACTATTTAATAATTAGACACACACACAAAGATTATCTGCTACTTTGACAGTCCTATTGTTTTAGAATTGGAGAAACTAATAGAATCCTACTTTTTAGTTTTTTACTTCTCATTGCTAGTTGAGAAAGTAAAATTCAGATGATACATGTGAATCAAAATCATTCGTACAAGAACTATCCATGATTGGCTTAGCCATAACAGACTTTTTAAAATTATTGGTATATCCTGGTCTTCAGGAAAGATACATTTAAATGGAATCTCACTTTAGCAAAGAGCTGTCAGAAGAAAGTGCTTAAAACTTTCATCACATGCTAAATAATTATAATTGGATGAAGTCAAGTTTTCAAATGAAGTCAGTATAATTTCAGGAAAGTTTAGAAATTTCTGAAGTCCAAAATGACTACAAACTCCTATCACTAATAAACATATTGATTTTATGCATTTTATAAAGATTCAGAATTATATTAATCTTTTATAGGGCTCATCTCAGCATAACAGTTCTGAAAGTACCTGTTGGGCAACAATTCTAGAAATGACATATTTTTTAAACCATTCAACATAAAGTTTTCTTAATACATATTAGATTAATTTTGATTTTATATCTTAGATGTATTTTAATATTTCCTTAACTAAGGAATGTTCAAACTTTAATGTGCATTAGAATCCCTTGGAGGTCATGTTTAAACCCAGAGTACTGAATTCTATGTCCCAACCTCCCCCTGAATTTCTGGACCTCAGAACCAGAGGTGAGACCTGAGAATTTGCATTTTACTGGTTCCTAGGCTATTTTGGTACTTTTCTATGCAAACCATCAGACTTAGAACAACTGGTCTAGAATAATAAAAAAGAGAAGTTATTAATGCAAACAAGAAAAAGAAAATTCATGAACATCATATTTCCTTCTATGACTCTTTACTCTGAGATATTCTGGTAAACTCTTACTAATGATTGAGAGTACCTTGTTGAATTTATTTAATTTTACTAGAGAGTTGACTGCACAGGGCACTGGTGGCATTTTCCCATCAGGTTTGGGTGCCAAATGAGAGGTCAGTGGTTCAAACCCACCAGCAACTCTTCAGGAGAACTATGAGGGTGGCTGCTCCTGGACAGATGTACAAGTTTGGCAACTTCCCATAGGGTCAAATGAATCAGAATCAATGCAGTGACTGTGGATTACAAGGATGGATAAAAAGCTCCTTAATTCCTAATGACCAAAATATACTGCCATTGATAAGTAGTAAGAGATATTTTCATCTCAATCATTGAATTTTTAATTTAAAAAAAAGAAAGGGGAACCAAGGAAAAAAATAAAAAATAAAAAAAAAAAACAACAAAAAAAAGCAAAAAAAGTAAAAAACCAAACCCATTGCCATTGAGCCAATTCCTACTCATAGCGACCCCATAAGACAGAGAAGAGTCGTCCCTATGAGTTTCCAAGACTATAAATTTTTATAGGAACAGAAAGCCTCACATGTCTCCTGAGGAGGGCTGGCAGTTTCGAACTGCTGACCTGGTAGCTAGAAGACCAGTGTGTACTCCACTATCCACCAGGGGTCCTTATGCAAATAAGATAGGAAATAATATTCAAGTTTCAGTCAGGAGGGTGGGTTTCCTTAAAATAAAATAAAATATATGACAACTCTTCCAGCTCAAGAAAATGTTCCCCACGGGACTTTGTTAATTCATATATGTGTGTGTCACAACATGCTGCTGCCCATATTTGCTTGGCAAGGAAAAAATCTGGTGAAGAAGCATCCCAAAATCTACTGGGAAAAAATGGCCTTTCAATTTCCTAGTTACTAATTTCCAAAGAATTTAAAAGTAAAACACCAAGGGAGAGAATATAATCAGGTTGCGGGCAAAGGTGTCTCCTAGGTCCTTCGAGGTGCACTTGTTTTCTTTATTCTTGAGTATCATTTTGAAGGAGAGACAAGGTTTTATTCTTCATAAGAACTTATTTGTTCTTCAGATAGGCAGAGGGTGATAACGATCAACAAATGGTTCTAGCGTAGACTGTTCAGTTTTCTGCTGCTCAGTAGCAAAATTAATGAATACCTGCAAGAAAGAATCAAAATGGTTAGCTCATAAGGACCCAAAATTTTGCTCTTAACCTTGATATGAAGGGACTTTTTCTCAGACTACTATTCTACCATTCCTAAAGTCACAGATTGTCAACCCATACCAACCCTTCCTAAACGACCACGATTGGTAGGAAGTTGTGATTTAATCAGACATTTCTGGTACTTTTAATACCCCATGAACTTTCCCTTGTAAGGCTGAAATGGTCTTTTGGGAAATTTGGGGACCTGGGTACGGTAGAGAAAAGATATGATTCAACCTATGGAATGAATTCATTACTATATTGTAGCCATATTGATTATGTCCCTTGAGTGCTGAGAATAAATATAGA